AATGTTGCTGCTTTAATTCCCACTGGAGCCATGAAAATAACACTAAATGGAAATCGTACTGACACGGGTCCTGAGCCAGGAAGTTGCCGGAGCGTTTCACATGGAAAATGAACTGTGGCTCCCGATGCAGAAATGGAAAACTGCAGGACCATTTATGGGTTGTGGTGCGGCGAGAAATGGGCTCTCAGTGCAATCAGAGATAATCTGAGATTCTCGGGTTCCTCAGGGTTTTCAGCTAATCTCCTCTCGAAACATTTGGAGGCTTGGACGGAAGGGGGGGGGGGGTACACAATCCTGTGAGAGATTTTAAAACAAAGCGCTCACCCTCAGAGCATTCATACCTGACGGAGTGAGTCAGTCTGGTGAGGCAAGCAAGGAGGATGCCAGGCCGGCTATTTTAGACTTCGCCTGATCTGTTCGTGAATGCGTGATATGCAGAGAGGATTCCTGTTTGATAGCTCTGGTGACTGAGAGAAAAGCTACATCAAAGTGGAGGCATTCCTCCCCAAATGTGGCTCCCACTCAAAGTAATATGGAGAAATGCACCTCAATGTGCCTGATAACCATCTTGTTTGTAAGTTATTATATCAGTCCTGGCAGGTCATGTACCCTCAAAAGCATTGCTGCTTTACCACTGAACTTTACCTCAGCCAATGTCAGCATATAAAGTGATTACTCACTCCCACCGACCCGCAACATGAAAAACACATGAAAGTTTGGCATTACAGACGTCCAAGCAAAACTCCCGTTAGCTCATACCTCCAAAGCCCTGGGCCTCTCCAGGAGGAAATGAAAGAAAGCCTGAGTCTCTAGAACACAGAACTCCACTGTATATATCTTGAAGGATAGATACCATTTCACTGAACGTCACACACTTAACAGTTGTTGTATTCCTGCACCACTCTATTCTGAAGATTGTACAGTCCTGTGCCTTTTATTCTCAAATAAGTTGTTTGTTGCTTATACAGGGAGGGAAATGAATAGTAGTCTTACCTGTGAAACCTTACAGTTGTCATCTAATAGCATAAGCCTGCCCACTATATTAGCAGACACTTTACTGTACGTCACAGGACTGCAGTTTATGAGATAAAGACTTTGGGTTTTGAAACATACTCCTGTAGTAACAGACAGAACAAAATGCCACTTTCAGCCCTGCTTTTGTTTTGTGTAAAACATCCCTGAGGGGAATCATTTTCATCATCCTTCTTTTTTTTTAAACACATGAATGTTTTAGTGAGCCATTAATTGCTGTCAAAGGCTTTTTTTCCTCTTTCCCACCATCACATGTCATCTCCTGAGGCGAAAGGAAATCCACGAGACAAAGTGATGCGACTTGTCTGAGAGAGAAGCGCACCGAGCTGACAGCTCCTTTCGGCAGCCTGTGAGCAGTGACTGAACAAGTTCTCGATCTGTCAGGAATGAGCAGGGCAGAGTGTATTTTGACATACACAGTCCTGGTTTTGATGGAGGGGGTGCTGTGAACCCATTCGACCTTCGCTCGTCCACAGTTGCCCCCGAGCGCTATACTTTCCTGGTCAGATTTGGGTCTTGAGCTCATTGTGTTACTGGCCATACGCAGAGTTTCCAGTGCTTTCTAGCATCAAACCCACCGGGGGGAGGGGGGGATAAAAGAGACGTTGTTGCATTTAAGTGATACAGAAGCATTAGAAGACACAGAGAAGCTACACAGCATGTAAGCCTCCACGCTTCTGCATGCTGATCACATAGACAATCCCTCTGTTCTATTATCTCCAGCCTGTGTGGGGCTGTGTGGCCTTTTTACCATGCACAGGCCATGAGAAACTGAATTTGTCTCCCACATGGTCCCCCAGCATCGACAGAGGCTCCTCAACAAGTCGCACTGCATTGTTGTGCTCTATGAAACAGGCTGCAGAGGGTGTTTTTTCTCCAGCTGTTTTAGTGACCTTTTTTTTTTTCAAAACAGTCCTTGCATGTCAAACCTCTTCGTCAGTAATATCCTTCGCTGGCAAGGCCGGCAGTGTTCTGTCAGTTTAGACTGGCCTTTGTCCCAGCAACAGCAAACAGCAACATTTCCGTGTCAATGCAGCAAACTCGTGTTTCTTCCCAATCCTTGGTACTGGATAAAGCCGGATTAATATTTATATGATTGTTAGAGAAGTAGTCAACATTTTGGGGAATACGCTTCTTTGCTTTCTTGGTGAGAGTTAGATGAAAAGATCGATTCCGCTCTCATGTCTGTAAACTAAATATGAAGCTAACGAGCAGTCAATTAGCTTAGCTTGGCATAATGACTGTAAACAGTCATAAAATCATCAGTCATAAAACTGTCAAAAGCTAAAAACACTAACACCACCAAACTCATTAACATGTTCTCGGTTGTTTAATCTGTGGTTTTGATATTCTAACTCTTGGCAAGAAAGCAAGTCCCTGTGTTCCCCAAAATGTCAAACTAATCCGCATATCAACTGTGACATTTTTGAAAACATCAATGTAAATGTACCAGGTTTAGCGCCGCTAATTTGCTCCCATAGTAGAAACAACTGAAAACATTTTATTTATGCTTAACATCAATAACTTTTATTAAACCTTTAGCTTTGAAAAATGCTTTTAATGACTTCAGTATGTATAAATATAGCTTTGTGTAAAGTGTTGGTGACAGGCTTGACAAAAAAAAACACCTTTAAAGTTGACTAGCTAAATCTGATTGACATCAGAATTTCGTCATTCCACCTGATGAATGTAAGTCCAATAGTTGCTGTACTTTTAGTTTTCTCTTACTCTCACTTTGGTCTCCACTTAATGCCATAAAAAAATATTGGACTTTTTAGCTGCTAAATGTTCACCGGCTAGTCGCTAACTGTTTCTGTCTGCTGTTTGGTGCAGGGTAGTGTAGTTTACAGTGGGTTTATCAGAGCTTTTTCATCCAATACTGCTGCCTTCTGCTACTGGAAAGAAGGCAGATGAGAGCCGTAAGAGTGAACCAAAACATTAAAGTTACGGCTAAACCAAAACAATGAGCTGAACGACGCTAAAACTACAGAGCCTAGTTGCAGAGTTGGTCATTTTCTGTGGGATTGTCACTATGAACGACCCCTTTAACATTACACATAATCATTTGACCCATTCTGGATAAAATACAAATTATTATATATATATAAATATAAATATATATTAATGAAGCTTTCATTTCCAGTCCTAAAATGTCCTAAAATGGTAGAAAATTCAGAGAATTAGCTAACCTGGAGTGGACTGTGGTAGGTAATACTTAAAAAGAAAAAAGATAATCACATTACAAAAGATTCTAAGAATATTGTTCCAAATTTAGGTGAGTCAAGCATTTCATCACACAATTGTGATAATGAACTGAAATGCTGACTTCATTTTGGTGTTGCTGCGTCATTTGGAACATCCACATGAATAAACACAGTTCCTCTTATTCTGAATGCCAACCACAGCGTCTAACACTAATATGGATGTGGGTTTTTTCTCAAAAAGTAACTGTTCAGCTCCATTACAGGGGTGAATTCTGCCACTTCAGCAGCTCATCGTCATGTTGGCTAATGTCTGGAATTTGGTGTCACTTCCACATTGTAGTAATGGTGACTGAGTCAGACCAGTCAGGGAAGTTTCTGCATCCTCAATTTCATCTGATCCTTTTCGTCGGGAGCATAGAAATAGAATACGGAGTAGAACTTACGTTCCCATTCAAATCAACGTAGCGACCTCAACCACTTCATTTGCTTGATCATCAACACTTTGCTTCAGCCTACAACACTCAAATAAGCAAGCACTAAGTGATTTTGCATGGATGAGAAACAAAAATAAACCTAAGTTTAATTTAAGCTAAATGGTTCCTACTCAGTCAGAAGTCTTTGGGTGGTCTCTACAATAATAATCATTGTCTTTTACTTTAAAAGCAGAGCTCTTTATTTCCTAAGCTTTGCTGTTTGACTTTCGTCACAGACCTTAGCAGCACCCATCTCACTGACTAATGTTGATGTTCAACTTCCATTAAAGTAAATTGGCAACTGTGCGGAGAGCATGAGCGAATGTTTGGAGAATGCCTCAGTTTTCTAAGAAGCAGACGTGAGGCCATTACTTGGTGCTGCCAAGCAGACAAACGAAAAGGGAAGAAAGTCAGCCTCGCTCCAGCAAAGATGAAATGTTTCACAGTTAAAAAGCTCGGTGAAGGCTGAAATGAAGCCGTCTCTTTATTTTCTTTCAAGTTCTCCTTTTCATTACCATGCATCGTCCCTCGGTGGACAGCCCTTGCAGTTTTAATTCCTTTAAACCCAATCTGTTTATTAAGATGTTTGAGAGGCTCTTGTGGACCATTTGTCAGGTCTTCCAAATGTGAATCACAGACCTGACAGAGTGAGGTTCTTCTTTCATTAAGGATCAACAAATAACGTAGTTCAAACAGGGACCAGGCAGTGATGTCGCAGTTTAAAAAACCCAACAAATCCTAACTTATTCTTGCACCGCAAATGTTTCTCTTGGCACTTTCATGAAACTGAGTGTTTAGTTAAAGTTAAGCACGCTCATAAATCAATAGGTATCTCCTTTTTTCTGCCTTCTTTTGGGAGTCTCTTCCAATAAGTGTCATGCGAGTCATACGACCTATGCCAATGACGATGTGCGAGCTATTCTGTCCATTTAAAATTCTACTAAAAGAAAGTTTGACATTTTGAGAAACATATCTATTTGCTTTCTGGCTAAGAGATTGATAATAAGATCCAGCTGTCGCTTAACTCTTCAAATACCTACTCACTATGAAGCTACAGCAGCCGGCTGGCTTAGTTAAGCACGGAACTGAGAGCTGGTTAGCTTAGTTAAGCACGAAAACTGGGAGCTGGTTAGCTTAGTTAAGCACGGAAACTGGGAGCTGGTTAGCTTAGTTAAGCATGGAAACTGGGAGCTGGTTAGCTTAGTTAAGCATGAAAACTGGGAGCTGGTTAGCTTAGTTAAGCATGAAAACTGGGAGTAGGCAGACGTCATATAAAACATGAAACCAAAAGTTCAGTTGCAAATCTTACACAGATCTTTATTGTTCTTTAATTACATATAGTTCGTAGCAATCAAGTTGCTCTTTTCTTTTCTTCTCTTTTTCTCATCTTGTTCACACGTACAAAAACCTTCTTTTTCATCTTCCTTCCCCTACGTACTTTTTCCTGTCCATTACACTCACTTGATTTATACCACCTATCATCTATACGCAAGATATCACATCAACTTATACAGGAAGTTAATGGAGTGAAACACATTGCGATGACGATCTATTTCAGTTCCAAAACATCTTTTTCCAGCTTTTCTCTTTTCCTTCCAGCCTTCCACTGACTTTTATTATTTCCATCAACCAGTCTTTTATATGTTTCATTGTCTTGTCCCCCAGGACAGGTAAATATGTCCTGCTGCCTCTACTGGTGCACGCAGTGTCCACAACTAAAGCTCCATGCAAGATGCTACACTGAAAAGTAATCCGTTTCATTTTGAAAAGTCAGCTTTTTAAAAACCAACATGGCTCAGTTCAAAATTTTGTTTCAAAACAAAACTCCTGCTCTCTTCTCTGTTCAGATGATTTGCTACCACTACACCTCATAGTAATGTTTCATTTTCAAAAAGAGAGAGACTGAAGTCTCATTTGTCACTGGATTTAAATTAATGCCTGCAGTGAATTAAAAAAAAAAAGTGTCCAGGTCCTAACATCTGTCATTAAAGGAATGTATAAAAATAAGACGTGTTTTCTGATTAATCAAAAATCAGACTTTTACAGAGAAATTTGTAGCTTTGTGTAGTACATCTCATCCTTTAGAGGGATTCTCCTCCTTTCTTGCCTGCTAAAAATGCTCAAAATTTCAAACAACTTCACCTAAAAGCTAAAACAGTGCTGCTTTATGATACCTAAAAAAATACAATAAATCTTACAATATAAAAATGTAAAACTTTCATTAGTCCATCAAAAAAGGTCTAAAATAATGCTTAAATATCAAATTAATAGTAAACAATAGTAAAGGATTGAATGCACCACCTCTATCTTCAAGAAATCCACACACTCGCAACACACAGATCCATGTGTGAAATGTGTGTTTGCTTCTCATTACGCTTCCCTTTTTAGAGCTGGTGGAAGCCGTGCACGTCTCTCCAGAATACTGTGTCTCTGTGCGGTGCACTTGGATGGAGGGGTAAGGTAAATAGCTGCCGAAGAGGACAGTAACACAGATCACTGTAATAATACACACATAAATACAAGTCCCAACATCTATGTACAAAAATAAATCAAAGTGTCCAAACAGGAGTCCATTTTCTCCTTCCACCTCAGTTCACACCATAGTCTCTTTTCTCTTCCCTAAAGAACACAGGGACTTCTTCTCCTTTTTGGTTTTGTGCGATGTGGACGAGGACAGCGGCGACGACGATGAAGATGACGTCGTCGTCGATATAGATGAGGAGGAGGAGCGGGAGGAAGGGGACGTCGTGGTGGGGCTGGTAGTCGTGCTGTTGCACGGCAAGCTGGGGGCGGACTGAGAGGCCGGCTGCAGGCAGTTCTCGTCCGCTTCCTCCATGTGGACGATGGCGGAGACGGAGGACGGCCGGCGCTTGGAGCGGGCGTCATTCGCCGACGGGGAGGGCGTGGAGGGCTCGCTGAGGGGCCGGTGGACGGAAATGGCGCTGCGGAGGCAGTTGAGCCACTGCTGCTTGTGGAAGATGTCGTTGACCTGCAGCGTGTGGGACTGCGCCTGGCTCGGGTCTTGGGAGCGCACGCGGAAAATGTTCTTGGCTGTGGAAGGAAGTGGAGAAAAGTAGAATTAGCAAACTGCTATACTTGAGAGAAGACGATGTATATTCCTACATTAACAGCTATAAAACTTTTGACTCTGGCACAAGCCTCACCTTTGTCTGCGTTGCTGAAAGCGCCCCTGAAGGAGCCGCCCATTCTGACATCTCCGTCCTGCAGGTCCTCCAACACAAGGTCATGCACTGGGATCGGCTGCCGGTAGACCTGGAAACACTGGCGCTCGTTCCTGGTGACGGGGCGAGTCAGGACCAGCAGCTCGGTGAACAAGAACACATGCAGCTTCTGGAGGGAAACAACAAAAACAACCACAACAATTAAAACCACACATTTGACATAACCACCAATAAAGTTAGCAAAGTGCATACTGGTATGTTTAAATCATTGGCTCGTTGGAAGTCGACGAAGCAGGTGGTTATAAGCCTAATTGCCTTATATGGGATGTGAAGCTTGTGGTGATTTACTGGAAGAGGCAGCCAAAGGAGCAATGTGTGCGCATTGTGCTCACCGTGCCGCTCTTGTTTCGGAGCTCTCCGTGACACAGCAGGCTCTTGCACTGCTCAATGAGAGGGTCTCTCTGCCTGTCGTCCAGATACTCCAGCTTGTCGATGTAGTACCGGCACTCAGACTCTCCCTTCTTCATGTTGATGTCAGACAGCACACCCTGCATGATGGTGATCTGAAGAACACAAGGAATGAGAAAATTAACCTCAGGCACGTTTGTAGATCCACGTCCTGCGTTTGAACAGATCTGGGCCCTCGACTCACCGCTTCCTCCAGACTGGCGGCGTCCGGGTGCTCTGGTGGAGTGTGTCTCAGTATCTCTTTGAGCAGCAGTGGGTACTTGACTAGGCGGGAGCGCGGGATGTCCAGGAAGCTCCACAGGTCCAGCTTCCTGCTGAAGGGCGACTCAAGGCAGCGCTGCAGGAAGTCCTGCACCCGCCGGTCCTGCTTCTTCTGGTCCAGCAGTGCCTTGGCTGCCAGCTGGTTGCTGCAGTAGTCCTTGTAGGCGTTAAGCCGAGGCAGCTGCAGGGGAGACGAGACACTTACTTATGCTGCCTTTCTTACTAGAAACCCAGCCGAACGTCAACAGAATGAAAAGAGGTCGAAGCACTTGGTGACGGGACTCTTACCCAGTTTACTACAATCTGTCCGATCTGGCCTACGGTCCCATCTGGCCCCGTGGCTTTGGCAAGCTGCGCCAGGAGGTCCTCGTGCAGAGGGATGTAGGTATCCAGGTTGCCGAAGATGTGAGTGAGCTCCTCCTCTGACATAATGGAGAGCTTCAACATCGGGTCATGGTACGCCTGTGTACAAGAGAGCCAAAACGTCAAATGACAACATCCCATCAGGCAGAGATGGTGCTAAGAATAGCTCGTGAATAGCCGTGAGGGTACAAGAGAAAGACAGAGGAGTAACTCCTGTCTTTTTATAGCTCCTGGCTTGGCTGTGTGGAAGGCCTGCCAGACTTTGATTTAATCTGTTTGCTTAATAAGTACTCCATGTTAAAAGTACAAACCTTGCGTGCGAGCTGGAGGTCCTCAATCAGGTCCTGCTCTCCGCGAGACAGCTCAAATATGGCCTGAGGAGGGGGAGGTACAAATAGATACTTTTCTTTAGCAAAACACATGAATCAGAATGTCATTACATTATCGCAACTGATGGCAATTAGACTAAATGGTAAAACTGTCGTGGTGCAAACAACAGAGGTCAACTTTGAAATCTATCTGGCTGCTCTCTGTGTTTAAAAAATGTTTATGCCTTCTGACAGTTGGCTTAGATGTCTGGCATATGTACCACAAGTTGGGATGTCGGGCCGGAGAGCGCTGGTTTGTTAGCTTGTCAGGTCTATGTGAGCTCACACAGATGGGGAAATAAGCCCGGGGTGGCTTTTAGACCCATTTAGACTATCCGACACAAATACTACAGGGATATGTGAAACCTGTATGGTAGACAGGTAGAACTAACCACTGTCTGGATCTCTAACTTGGCTCACTCATGTATCCACAACTACACTTTGCCCCTTGGTGTCCCAACCATGCTCTACAATGCACTTGCTGTTCCTACTGTATGTTCATGTGCTGATTCTCACCTCCTGCCGCTTGATCTCTTTGGTGGAGAAAGTTCCCTTCTGGTGGACGTCTAATGTCTCCGACCACAGCATGCTGTTCCTTCTTTTGGGCGGCGTGGGGGCTGCTGCCTTGCTGCAAGGCTTCTGGGGCGCGCCCGGTGACTTGCCATCGCCCCGGAAGGAGGCCTGGAGATGGAAAAGAGGAGTCAGACAAGTGGAAACCGAGTTGTTTGGTGCAACAAGTAGAGCAGCAAAGAGGTGCGCTTTGAGTTCCCTTTCAGTGGGATGTCAGGGGAGCTTACCTGGATGGTTTGGCCGAAGCGCCGGACGGCCCCATTCTTCACCGGAGAGATGAGGTTGGCTAGCGACGTCACCCTGCCGAGAGGACGGACACGCTTTGTGCTGGGTTCCTGAAGAAGGAGGAGAAAAAACGGAAGGAGAGATTAGTCAGGCAATTTCATCGTAGTCAAAGAAAAGTCAGAACCTTTCATTCTGCTCGCAGCAAGGCAGAGCGAATCGATCGGCAATGCCAACTGCGAGATTTCCACAGACCTCAGCTGTTAAGTGCAGATGCCCCCATGTGACTCCCTTGTGATAAACCGCATCAAGACCGGTCATAAATCCTCATTATTGACTGAAATCGGAGTAGCCGGAGCCGAGGTTGAGCCACAGACAGACAGACTGGCGGACCAGCGGACAGACAGAGATACTGAGGAGGAGGAAGCAGCTCCAGCAGCTGTTGGCTCCATTATGTGAAGAGTCCCAGAGCCAGGCCAGCCCACTGAGCACAAAGACCCTTTCTGGCCACTGATCTGGAAGGGGGTCTGGAGGAATGGCAGGAATGCACGAGACCCTGCACTCAGCTGTTCAACACCCCTCCCTGCGCACACTCTGCTCCTATCTGGCCTGACATCCGCTACAGCCCCACTTCTTGGGAGCGGATCTGGTCCATCACTCAAACAGCGTGAGATAAACGCTTCCTAATCGCTGCAACTCTTTAACTGCCTTCCCAGGGACACCTTTCCCAGTGTGGCACTGTGTCAGGACTGTTGTGTCATTCGGGGAAAAGGAGCAGCAGCGGTCGTGTCCCCTCTCTCGTGTGCGCACAGTGCGGCATTGCAGGGGTTGCCGGTCGCTGCGAGTCGAGACATGCTCTCCAACAGGCCTTGCGTGAGAGCAGAGCTACACCTGGGCCAGGTGAAACTTCCCCTCACTCAGCCCTGAGGCTGGGAGAAAGGAGAGAGCTGCTTGGCCTCGTGCCAACAACATCAGGCCACAAATCAAAGAGCTGGAGATCTGAGGTAAAGATTTCAGCCCACAGAGCCTCTTCAGAAGGTGAGACCGCCATAATTCGCATCTCTGAACGTTTGCACTCCCCGCAAAACATTTTTGCATTTTGAGAAATTCACACTAATGAGGGCTTGCTCTCTGGAATCGAGCAGAGCTGTGTGTGTGTTTTTCTCCTGACTCAGGCCAAATGGGATTTGCCTTGGCTCAGCAAATCTGGGAAACAGAGCAGCCACTGAGGCTGGGCGCTCCGCAGACACAGCTGTGGAACAGATCCTCTGTCTGCTGCCGCGGCTGTGGTTGACTCACGGTCTGCTCTGGGTCTCCACATTGGACCAGAGAATCCAGACAGCCTTGAGAACTTAGCGAGCCCTCTAGTGGCAGGGGCCAGCAAAGAGATGGTGACTGCTTTGACTGTGCTCTACATGCAAAGGGTCCCAGACTTCTAAAGAATCTAATATGTGACCTTTTAATAACAGCAGACATCGTAATACAAACTACAGTTATAAGTGGGTGGGGGTCTCCAAAGTCAATATTGGAAACGCGTGTTGGCCATTCTGCACTTCCTGTCTTTTGGGAACCAGCCCCAGAACAACAAAAGGCCACTGGTCCCACTCTTTGTTCATCAGCTGTGAAGTGGAAAAGTGCAGACGGACGGGGAAAGTTGCTATTTCTGGCAGTTTGATCTGTTCTCACTTCAGGAAACCAGACGGACCCGGAGTTAGTGCTGCAATTTTGGATAGACATACATGTGCTCCTTAAACTCCTAACCTAAGATTACAACCTCATAAACATCAGGAGATTTTTTTTCCCAGGGATCCCAAAAGAGCTTCCTGTGCTCTGCCTTTGATGTAACCTCGTGTGAGCTGTGACCTCATACCCCAGATGTGTCCCTGGGTTTTAGAGCACTGCATGAGTTGAACAGTCAGAATGAAAGGGTCGAGGTCATTGACAAGTCAGCATGGTGCGTTTAAGCTAAAAGGGCTGTCTCGAGTTTGCAGTTCTGCGGGAACAGAATGAATCACCCCGCAGAACTTCTGCTTTATCAGGTGGTTTACTGTCAATGAAACCACATCTTCCCTGAAATCTCTCCCGAACGAGAACCGTGCAACCCTTTAAAAGGGGAAGGAAGGGGCTGAAGCGGTGACTTTTTATAAGTACAGAGAGCACACCTGGGTTTCAACAGCCTTTAACTGCTGCATCAAAGATAACCTGGTTACAGTTCAAAAGCAAAGTAACTCTAGACTGGGTTGTTGACTGAGGGTTTCCCCACCCCCCCCCACTTCACTGTCCCAATCTCTCCCCATATCCTGACTAAGGCTGAGCTGCCTGCTGTGCCGGGATGCATATTTAAGGGGGAATACACAACACTGAGGGGGGTCTGTTCGCTATTAACAACTTCCTAGGTGCAGTGTGATCCAATGATTAACATTTCCAGGTTTGGCAGTATCTCAAACATTCAAAGTCCAAAGTCTCATCTTAAAGGCACAATGTGATTAAAAGCACAAACAAACACGGTGCGCCCATGCGAGATAAAAACAGGGTTAGGCACTGATTCATTCACAATCTCACACAAAAGGCTTGACTTCATCTCAAGGAGCCGACAAACATTCAGCGAAACCCTCAGGAAACAGTAGAAAGACTGCATCTCACCTCTGAGTCTTTGTTGGCTTGGTTCTGGTAGTCTATCACTTGCAGAGTCCGTTTGATAGGCACCAAGCTACCCAGTTCATCGTAAGCCACCATAGCTTTCAATGAAAACACAATATCCTTTTTTTGTTTTTTAATCCTGGCGAGTCAGCTTCAAGTAATCCACATCAGAGAAAAAGTTGAGCAAATTCGAGGGCTGTGTGGGTAAAAAGAAAAAGAAAACCCTTCAATAAATAAATACACCTCCCCATATAAGCTCTGAAGGCTTCCCTCACACACTCTAAACTTTGGTCTGAAGCACACTGAGGGAGGGAGGGCTTTATACCAGGCAGGACAGACAGGGAGGAGCGAGCCTCTGCTCAGCTCTCATGGCTGCAGAAGAGGCGGGACCGGGTTTACTTGGAAGTGGGGAGAAGCTGCACGCAGGCTCTGTTGACACTCACAAGTGAAAACAGTAGTGAGAAGTTTGTAAGATCACAGGTTAAGCTTACTGCAAAACGGAGTTGACGCAAACAAATCCGATGAGGGCAGGTGAACGTTGGAAAAAGACTGAAGCTTATCTAACAGTATGAGTTTGTCTCAGGGAACTGGGTTAAGGTCTGCAGTGAAGCACGTAGAAAAGATAAATAAAAAAGTTATCTTTATTTCTGTGCAAATGTACTTCTGTGAGGGTGAAAAAAGGTTAAACTGTGAGAATTAATTTTATTTGCTGTTGAAATAAACACACGGCAGAAACATTGTCGGTAATGATTCCACACAGCTTTGTCCTCAAAGACATGCAATATACAGTATATAGCAAAAATCTGGAAACAGGCATGCTAACTCATCAGGGGTGAAAAAAGGTGACAGACGCAAACATGGGAATGCACTGGCAGCTTTGCTAAACAACAAAACACTGTAGGAACAGTGGACAGACCCTTTCCCAAAAGGCAACAGGTAACAATGGGCAATAAACCTAAAAAAACCAATTTATTTTTGCTATGAAATTGAAAATACCAAAAACACAAAAGAGGCATTATTTTGTCTCGCCTTCTACCAGATTCTAGCATCAGGTACTACAACCGTTGAAGCTAAATGCGTCGTTCTGTTTAACAGACTAATTAACGAACTACAAAGTCATTATTACTTGTTAGCTAATTATCAAAGCAGGTCTGCTTTTTAAACAGAGCTGTTATCAGTCTGATCAGCTGACCTGAGGGAGGTGAGCAATTAGAATATCAATGGCGGGTGGGAAACCTGTTTATTGAATACCACTGGGGAGGAAGGGGTTGTGTGCAACTGCCACCCATATGTTGATTGGTCTAAGAGTGGGGGAAAGGGCAGCATGTTGATCAGTTTCAGTAAAGACAAGAGTTCTGAGGCCATAATGAAACTCGTGGCTTTTGTTCGTGCATTTGTGCACACACCCTCGGGGGGATTCACCCGGACAGGCGGATGCACACATGCTTGAAGGACGACCACACCCATTACTCTACACGTCCCCCTCCACCCCTATACAGCTGGTGCACAAATGCACGGCAAAAAGTGGAGGTGTTAGATCTGACGGAGCGGCTAATGTGGAGGTGCTGCAAGGCAGAGCGTCACAATGTGTGTGTGTGTGTGTGTGTGTGTGTGTGTGTGTGTGTGTGTGTGTGTGTGTGTGTGTGTGTTTTAGGGCAAATGGACAAGCCTGTTCGTGGTTCTACTTCATCCCCCTGGGTCAATACGCAGGTGTGAACCAGGACAGGGGCTTCATGCTGTTGCTGTGTGTACATTCGTGTGTGTGACAGAACACAGATGCTGATGGAGGTGTCTGGATATTGACGCCTTGCTCTTTGTTGACGGAGCGGTCAGGAGGGGCTCATCACCAACAGGATGGAGAGTCTGGGTTACATGACCCGCTTGCACCACCAAAACAATATGGAGTGAGATCATAAGTCAAGTGACCTCAGCATCAGAAAAAAATATGTAGGGCTCAAGTGAGAGATAAGACAGCAGAGCTGAAAACTATGCAGACTGAGGAGTCAGAGAGGATCTAATAAAAAAAGTGAATCTGTGTAGTCTGTGCGTGCCTTCAGCAGACAGACGACGCGTGAAGCCCTGCTGTTACTCACTGCTGCACGGGGAGACCTCGGGGGTGAATCAGCTGTGCGTCTGGTCCCGACGCTATAAAAACTGAACGCGACGTGGCTCAGCCTGCCCGGCCCTCGTAGCCCCC